AGGTCTTCCATTCCGTTGGTTCACTACCCAAATGACCACAATGGCCAGAGCTGAGCTGATCTGAAGCCAGGAGCCAGAAGCCAGGAGCTTCTTCCAGGTCTCCCACGAGGGTGCAGGGGCCCAGGGACTTGGGCTATCTTCTACTGCTTTCCCAGGCCATAGCAAAGAGCTGGATCAGAAGAGAAGCAGGCCGGCGCTGCAGCTCACTAGGCTAATCCTCCGCCTTGCGGCGCCAGCACACCGGGTTCTAGTCCCGGTCGGGGCGCTGGATTCTGTCCCGGTTGCCCCTCTTCCAGGCCAGCTCTCTGCTGTGGCCAGGGAGTGCAGTGGAGGATGGCCCAAGTGCTTGGGCCCTGCACCCCATGGGAGACCAGGAGAAGTACCTGGCTCCTGCCATCGGATCAGCGCGGTGCACTGGCCACAGCGCGCGGCCGTGGCGGCCATTGGAGGGTGAACCAACGGCAAAGGAAGACCTTTCTCTCTGTCTCTCTCTCTCACTGTCCACTATGCCTGTCAAAAAAAAAAAAAAAAAGAAGAGAAGTAGCCAGGACTTGAACTGGCGCTCATATGGGATGCTAACACTGCAGGCTAGGGCTTTAACTCACTGTGCCACAGCGCCGGCCCCAGTGCCTTTCTTCTTGAAGGAACTGCTTGCTTGGTAGAGACTTTGGAATTGCAGTTTTCTTTCAGTATATTGAAAACGTTATTCTGTGGTTTTATGGTTTCCACTGTTACTGTCCACAGTCAGCTGTTGAGCTCAGAGGTTGGCAAAACCTACAATTCCTAGGTCAAATCTGATCACTTGCTTTTGTAATAAAGTTTCACTGGAATACAGTCATGATCCTTTGCATATTCTTGATGGCTGCTTTTATGTTACAATGGCGTAACTGGATAGTTATTACACAGCCTAAAATATTTACTATCTGGACCTTTACAAAAAAGTTTGCTTGCATCTGTTCTAAACAACACTCTTTCAAAATAACCTTTCTTTTCTCTCTGCCAATGTTTACTTGTCTTTGGTTTTCTGCAGTTTCATTACGATGTGTCTTGCTGTGGAAATGGTTTTACTTCCTTGTTATCTGTGTGTCTGTTCTAGAAAATTCCCAGCTATTATCTCTTCAAATATTTCTGCCATTGTCTCTCCCCTTTCCTTCTGTGATCTCAATTTAAGACCATTTAATCCCTATTCATTTTTCTTTTTAAATGTTTCACAACTTTTTCATTCTTTTGAGTTTCCTTTTGAGTAGTTTATTCTACTTTCCTGTTAGCTTTTTTTCTCATAAACTAGGTCTAAATGGGCTGTTAAATTTATTCACTGAGTTCTAAATTTAGGTATTTTTAAATTCTATAATCAAATTTTATTTTCCAGCCCTGCCATTCTCATTTTTGAGTTTTTAGTTCTTTTCCCAAGTCTTCAAACTTGGCATTTATCTCTCTGAAATAATAAGTATGGCTGTTTTATTATCTGATTCTGGTAATTCCATTATATTGAGTTTCCATAATCTTTCAGTTGTCTTGTTTGTGCTGTTTCTCAGCTATGCTGGCTACCACCTTCATGCAACTGGTTATTCTGTATTTGAAAAAGTACTTGTAAAAATAATTTGAGGCCTAGGATGATGTCTTCCTCAAAGACGATTTATGCTTTTACTAGGTACTTAGGGACACTAGGGATCAGGGATCACCTTGATCCAGTTCAGTTAAGGTTTTCCTGGCTACAATCTATACAAGGGATGGGATACAGCCTACTAAGGGCCTAGTCATGAAAGTGGGGACTAGTCTGACCTCTGGGAAGTCTAGTCTCTGAGTTTTTCCCTCTAGACCTAGACCTAAACAGCTATACAGCTCAGCTCAGTCTCTCAGTCACCTCTTACGGATGGCAAATGCCATAGAGGCAAAACCAGCCCCAAGAGATGAGCTTACTTAATTTCCACTATCACTTGGCACTCAGCCCAGTAACTCTTTACTATCTTGTTAGTCTTTTTAAGAATATTGCTTTTATACTTTGTCCAGTTTATTAGTTGTTTTCAGTGGGAAAGCTGGTTTGAATTACCAAGGTTGGTTTTACTAGAAGTGATAATTTAATTTTTAAAAATTTCTTAGCTACTTAATCCTCCATTTCACCCATTTTTATTACTTTGTGTATGTATTTTAATTAATTAATTTCAGATGCTGAGAGAGGAAGATGAAACAGTTTGGGGGGCAGGGAGAGCACAAGACCAGCTCCCAATTACTGGTTCACTCCCTAAATGCCTGCAACAGCCAGAGCTGGGCCAAGCTGAAGCCAGGATCTGGGAATTCAATTCAGGTCTTCTACATGGGTGTCAGAAACCCAAATACTTGAAATTCACCACTGGCCCTCAAGTTCTGCATTGGCAGGAAGTTGGAATCAGATGAGACGCAGGTGTCTTAGTCTCCAGGCCAAATACCTGCACCTATATACATTTTCAAAATTATTTATGCAGGGGCTGGTGCTGTGGTATAGTGGGTTAGACCTCTGCCTGTGGAGCCAGCATCCCATATGGGTGCCAGTTCATGTCCTGACTGCTTCTCTTCCTATCCAGCTCCCTGTTAATGGCCTGGGAAAGCAATGGAAGAAAGCTCAAGTGCTTGGGCCCCTGCACCTACATGGGAGACCTGGAAGAAGCTCCTGGCTTCAAATAGGTACAGCTCCAGCCATTATGGCCATTTGGGTAATGAACCAGTGGATGGAAGACCTTTCTCTATGTCTCTCCTGGGAAAGCAGTGGGAGATGGCCCACGTCCTTGGGTCCCTGCACTCACATGGGGGACCAGAGAAAGCACCTGGCTCCTGGCTTTGGATTGGCACAGCTCCGGCCATGCGGCCATCTGGGGAGTGAACCAACAGATAGAAGACCTCTCTCTCTGCCTCTCAAATAAATAAATAAATCTTTAAAAAAAAAAAGCACTAGCCTCTAAATAAATTTTTTTTTTTACTTATTTATTTTGACAGATAGAGTTAGACAGTGAGAGAGAGAGAGAGAGAAAGACAGAGAGAAAAGTCTTCCTTCTGTTGGTTCACTCCCCAAATGGCCGCCACAGCCAGTGTGTTGAGCCGATCTGAAGCCAGGAGCCAGGTGCTTCCTCCTGGTCTCCCATGCGGGTGCAGGGCCCACCTGGCTCCTGGCTTTGGTTCGGTGCAGCGCACTGGCCATAGCGGCCATTTGGGGAGTGAACCAACGGAAGGAAGACCTCTTTCACTGTCTAACTCTGCCTGTCAAAAAAAAAAAAAAAAAAAAGGAAAAAAAAGTTATTTTGAGGAAAGGTCATTGGGCCTAGCAGTTAAGACACAGTGTCTCCTATCAAAACACCCAGGTTCACTTCCTGGTTCTAGCTCCCAATTCCAGCTTCCTGCCAGTACTTCCAGGAAGGCAGCAGATGATGGCTCAGTGGTTAGTTCTCTGCCACCCAATTGGGAGACCTGGATAGAGTTCCCAGCTTTGGCTCAGCCCCATTCTGACTATACCACTCATCTGGGGAATGAATCAATGGGTGGGATTCTGTCTCTCTGCCTCTGAAGGGGGAAAAAAAAGCTTACTGTAAGCTCTACTGACAACACTTGTCAACTGGTGGGCTCAGTTTAAGTGATCAGTCACTGTGTGCCTTCCATTTTCTTTATAAAAACCCCAAATGCTAATACATGAAGGTCTTCTCTGGGGCCCTTTAGTATTCCAAAGGAGAAATCTTTGATCTTCTTCCTGAGCCAGTCCTCTGTACAGGAGGTGGAAGAGAAGGGCTGGACTTTTAGTTAGTCCATCCATTCTTAGCTCCCCAACTGCTGAAATAGGTACTTCTAAGTCCACATGTCTGCTTTCCAATTTCTTTAAAGAAGAAACCTCCAGGGGCCAGCACTGTGGTGCAGCGGGTAAGGTTGCTGCCTGCAGTGCTGGCATCCCATATGCGCACCAGTTCGAGTCCTGGCTGCTCCACTTCCGATCCAGCTCTCTGCTGTGGTCTGGAAAAGCAGTGGAAGATGGTCCACGTCTTTGGGCCCTACACCTGCATGGGAGACCTGGAAGAAGCTCCAGGCTCCTGGCTTTGGATTGGCATAGCTCCAGCCATCGCAGCCATCTGGGGAATGAACCATCGGATGGAAGACCTCTTTCTCTCTCTCTCTGTCTCTCCTTCTCTCTGTGTAACTCTAACTTTCCAATAAAATAAATAAATCTTTAAAAAATAGAAAGAAAATATTGCTGAAAGAAATTAAAAGATACACAAATAAATGGAGAGGCATCTTAGGTTCATGGATTGGAAGACAATTATTAAGTTATTGAAACCACCAAGGCAATCTACAGATTCAATGTCATTCCTATCAAAATCCAAATTTAATTTCTTTAAGAAATAGAAAAATGCTATTCATTCTAAAGTTAATACAAAATTTCAAAGGATCCTAAATGCCAACTGTGGTTTTGATTTGCATTTCCTTGATAATTAGTGATGTCAAGCCTTTTTTCATGTATCTGTTGGACACTTTTACATTTTCCTTTGAAAATGTCTAATTAGATCTATTGTCCACTTTTAAACTGGATTATTTTGGTGTTTTGCTATTTTGTTGTTTGAGTTTCTTATATATTCTGGTTTCAGATAGTATCTTTCCACTATCACAATTTAAGCACATATCCTCTTGTCCTATAGTCTTCTAAAAAGAGAACAGAACATTTATAATTACAAAATTTTTGATATTTGAAGACAATTACTAAATCACCCTTCCGCAAGTTAACCTAAATTCTTTTTTTTCTTAATATGGTCAATATTTTTCAAAGCTTAAATTCTTACATGTAACATTAGGAAAGTAACTATTATATACTTTATAAGGATAATTAGGGAAAATATTGGAGTTAAAATTAGTTATATTAAAAATAGTAATGTGATGGGTATAATACAATTATAAATAATAAATGAAGTCCCAGAAAAACTATCATTCACATATTAATTCTCCACCACAGTTCTACCTCTAGCGTTTCAGAGCACAGTAATCCTTACCAGGGGACTTTCCTTGTTGGGAGTTGCTTCTTCGCTCTCTGTATCTGGCTGGAGTGGATAAACCTGTGTCTTTACTAGGCTTGCTCGCAGGCCCCATTTCTGAAATGAGGAATCCCATCTGTTCTGAAGGCAAGATACTCTCAGGTGGATTGGTCTGGCATTTTATACTGGCATCCACCTAAAATATTAAACCCACATATTATTCTGAGATTTTCCTCCAGACATCTACTAAAACTTCATATATTTTATCAGAGGAGCTGTATTATAGGATGATGATCCAACAAGCAAGTGTAAAACTTTTCATCCTTATAAATGATACCACCTTTGATTTTATTATCTAAACATCAGTAAGATGCACATGTCCTCATACTCAAGCCACTGAAATGTATATGGAACTAAATATTAATGTAGCATCAGAGGGAGATTTATAATGAGGCTTGATTTAACTTACAAAAGTAAGGTATTTTATTTTTGTTTTATCTGAGGGGCAGGGGGAGGGAGGGAAGAAGGAGAGGGAGGGAGGGAGGAAAAGAGAGGAGAGGAGAGAAGAGAGGGGAAGGGAGGGGAGGGGAGGGGAGGAGAGGAGAGGGGAGGGGAGGGGAGAGGTCCTCCATTTGCCCATTCACTCCCCAGTGCCTTCAACAGCCAAGGCTGTGCTAGTCGAAAGCCAGGGACCCAGAACTCAATAGGGATCTCTCAAATGGGTGGCAGAGACAGAGCACTTGAGCCATCACTCACTACCTCCCAGGGTGTACATTAGCAGGAAGCTAGAATTGGAAGTAGAGCCAAGACTTGAACCTGCACACTTCTATACGGATACAGGCATCCCAAGTGGTGGCTGAACCACTGGGCCAAACATCTGCCCCAAAAATAAAAGTAAAATATTTTATATTTTACCACTCTAGCATATATCAGACTTTTTCTGCTGGTGGTATTAGAATGGTCATATGCATTACTGGGTATAAATGGGGCACAGATACTTTATCCAACTAATTTTGTATTTTTTACTTAAAGATGCACTCAAAGTTATATAAGCTTCAAGCTTTATTATTTTTTTTTAGGACAGGCAGAGTAGACAGTGAGAGAGACAGATCTTCCTTTTCGTTGATTCACCCCCCAGTGGCCACTGCGTGGCCAGCGCACCGCGCTGATCCGAAGCCAGGAGCCAGGTGCTTACTGCTGGTCTCCCATGTGGGTGCAGCACTTGGGCCATCCTCCACTGCACTCCCGGGCCACAGCAGAGAGCTGGACTGGAAGAGGAGCAACCGGGACAGAATCCGGGGTGCCGGCGCCGCAGGTGGAGGATTAGCCTATTGAGCCGCAGAGCCAGCCTAGCTTCAAGCTTTATAAAAACAAATCAGTATCTGTGCTATTTACAGGATATGAGCTTCTTTCTTGGATTCCTAAATTCTTTTTTGGATTTTACCTTTGTCAAGGTGATAACTTTCTAAAATACTCTATTTCTTTATGAACTTAAAGTAAAATTCTATAATGAAATAAATCTGAAAGTTAAAAACATAGCTTTGAAAAACTATGATGTTCAAATATATTTATTAAAAAAATAATTGTTTGAATGTAATTTGAAGATATGAAACCTAGTATTCCATCTGTAAGCAAAGATAAAGCTTGTGTTTTTTCTACAGACATATTTAAAGTATAATGGGCCAGGCAGGTGTTGTGGCACAGGAGGCTAAGCTGCCTAGGATGCCCATGCCCCACATCAGAGTGCCTGGTTCAGCTCCTGGCTTCTCCATGTTTCTGCTCCAGCTTCCTGTTGATGTGCCTGGGAGGCAGCAGATTTTCTTTTTTAAGGACCCCCCAACTGTATTTGTTTAGATACAGGAGCTCTTAACTCAAACACTTATGAGAAAACAAATTAAGATTGCATTATTCTGCAACTCATTACCAGTAACATACTGCAAAGCAGAATAGTTTGGAAAAGAGGGTTGAAGGGAAGGGGAGTGAAGCAGGGAAGATAAAAAAAAAATTAAGTTGATCAAGTGGAATCTTTTTTTTTTTTTAATTCTTGGGAACTATGAAATCTTTGCAAGCACACCTTGTCTCTGCTGATTACTTTCCAAACATGTACAAAATGGAACCAAAGTGGAGAATCCCTTAAGAGCTTTAAGAGACGCAACAGTAAAAGCTACAATTAACCAGCAGCAAGTGTTCAGTCTTCAGTCACCTGTCGCTTCCTCCTCTTGTTTCCAAGGAGCAGGTATTCTACTGTATGATAAAGGAATCTTAACTGGCTTCTTAATCACTAGGCCAAATATATGCCCCTGGATGTACTTTTGATCAATTATCCCTACTAATTGCTTAAAATCACAGTTTATTCATTTTCTGGTCATAAACTAGCAACAATAACGGAATTCACCTCCACCTTCAGAATATGTCCCTCAAACTAGACAGAGTCAGGGTTACATATTAGGTATGCAAACATAAGTAAAGAAATTAAAACACAATATGTTGGCTGGCGCTGCGGCTCACTAGGCTAATCCTCCGCCTAGCGGTGCCGGCACACCGGGTTCTAGTCCCGGTTGGGGCGCCGGATTCTGTCCCAGTTGCCCCTCTTCCAGGCCAGCTTTCTGCTGTGGCCAGGGAGTGCAGTGGAGGATGGCCCAAGTGCTTGGGCCCTGCACCCCATGGGAGACCAGAAGTACCTGGCTCCTGCCATTGGATCAGCGTGGTGCGCCGGCTGCAGCGCACCGGCCACGGCGGCCATTGGAGGGTGAACCAACGGCAAAGGAAGACCTTTCTCTCTGTCTCTCTCTCTCACTGTCCACTCTGCCTGTCAAAAAAACAAACAAACAAACAAAAAACCAAAACACAATATGCTCACAAGACTTCAACAGTGCTTCAAGAATATAAGAACTCCAATCAGCTCCTTACCTCCATGCTACAAATAACTAGGAAAGTCCTCATATCATCTGTTTAATAAATCAAACCTTATGGGTAGTGGAATTGTATCAGCCAGGCCTATTTAGGACATCCAAATTAAAAAACAAAACTAAAGGGATGCTCTCACTATGAAAATAAATTTTAGGCTGGCACCGCGGTTCAATAGGCTAATCCTCCACCTGCGGCACTGGCACACCGGGTTCTAGTCCCGGTCAGGGCGCCGGATTCTGTCCCGGTTGCCCCTCTTCCAGGCCAGCTCTCTGCTGTGGCCCGGGAGTGCAGTGGAGGATGGCCCAGGTGCTTGAGCCCTGCACCCACATGGGAGACCAGGAGAAGCACCTGGCTCCTGGCTTCAGATCAGTGCAATGCACCGGCTGCAGCAGCCATTGGAGGGTGAACCAACGGCAAAAGGAAGACCTTTCTCTCTGTCTCTCTCTCTCACTGTCCACTCTGCCTGTCAAAAAATTAAATATATATATATATATATATATACCACAATGCTTAATCAGACTGCCTAGAGAGCTTGACTTCAGACCAAAACATAACAAGAGGATGCCAGAAGTTAAAACAATATATTTTGGAATCTTTTGTGCAGAACACTGGGATATGATCCTTATGGAAAGCATAATGAAATGGTATTAAACCCAAATAAAACCTGGATAAACTCTCAACTAATCTTTAGGAAAAAGCACTAGGTACTTTTGAGTTTTATTAGAATTTTTTTTTTTTTGCCCCTTACCTGGTGTGTGCTGAACGGTAGCCCTTCCTGTACAAATACTACAGAAGATGGAGATGGATTATGACTTAGCTGCTCCTTCAGTTTGACATGAGCTTGCTCGATAGCTGTAGATTCCTGCATCGTGCTATTTTCAACAGGCTGAGCTGTGTGGATGGTATAGATGTACTCAGGTGACTGTGGCAGAGAGCAGGTAATTGCTTGTTCTGTTCCAACCACAAAAGAGGTAATATCTGAGCCCACAGGAGTAAGCGGCTCCAGCTGGCTAGCCTGGCTTGTGGAAGACGGATTGCTGTTGCTGGAATTAGCGAGGATATGCTGGCCTCTGCTAGACTGAGATGCTGGGCACTGACTCTCAACGGGCTCCACCTTTACCATCTCCAGTTTAGGGGAGGAATGCAACTCATCTACTATCTGAAAGACAGCCTCTAGGTTTACTTCTGTCTTTTTGTTCTCATCAGTAGTATTGCAAGACCAATTAGAAGGCAGAAATTCAACTGGATAGGAGGATTGCATTGGAGGATTCTGGGAAAAGAGAAAATAGTACTGTTTGGACAGAAAAATCAAATATGAGGTTGAGCAGAAAAGTAACAACATTTAGGCTGATGACAGCTAAACATAAGTCAACAAAGAATTCACTAAGAAAACCTAAATACTAATCTACTTTTCAGCAATGGTAGCCTCAAATCTACTATTAACATTTACTTAGCATCTACTATATGTCAACAACTATGCTAGGTTTAATATTGGAATAGACCAATAATTCTCAGGGTCAATGTATATAAAATCAAATACTTATCTTCTGATAAATTGTCTATAATACCAAATTCTTCCATAAAAGTAGGCACACAAACTTATCACTTGTATCTATCATATATTGTTTTAGGAATACAGTAAGGAAATATTAAACACAGGATGCTCACAAATCCACTAATCCTTGGCCGGTGCCGTGGCTCAATAGGCTAATCCTCCGCCTTGCGGCGCCAGCACACCGGGTTCTAGTCTCGGTCGGGGCGCCGGATTCTGTCCTGGTAGCCCCTCTTCCAGGCCAGCTCTCTGCTGTGGCCAGGGAGTGCAGTGGAGGATGGCTCAAGTACTTGGGCCCTGCACCCCATGGGAGACCAGGAGAAGCACCTGGCTCCTGCCTTCGGATCAGCACGGTGTGCCGGCCGCAGCGCGCCTGCTGTGGCGGCCATTGGAGGGTGAACCAACGGCAAAAAGGAAGATCTTTCTCTCTGTCTCTCTCTCTCACTGTCCACTCTGCCTGTCAAAAATTAAAAACAAAAACAAAAACAAAAAAACAAAAAACAACATATCCACTAATCCTTTTATAGATTCAGGGGGAGATATTGATATTCTGTTCCAAATGATCTGAGAAAGAATGGGTGGAATATCTGTTGTCCTTTGGTTTCTGATACTGTCTATTTTTAATAATAAAGCAACAGAATAAAATAGTTATTAGTTTGAGATTTGTATCTTTGAGACATATTCTCTTACACATAGTGCTTTTCACAGAGTAGGCATTCAATACATACTGGTAATAAATACATAAAGCTGTGAACATAAAATATAGAAGAGTAACAATTTAATGAAACATAACAAATTGATATTACCAAATACAAAGCTATGCACAGAGCAGACATGCAATAAATTTCGATTATCTCAGATTACAAACAGAAAATATAGAACTCCAATTCAATAAAACTTGCGGTAAGTTGATGTTGCCAAATGCACTACAAAGGCAGTATCAATGATTTTTAGAAGCCTATTAATGCCAAACATGAAATGTAAATTTAAATAGTATAAGCATCAAGCTACTTTAGCCAACAGTACTACTTATTGAGTTCTTACTATGTACCAAGCACTGTATATACGTTATTTCATCTAATCCTTATAAAAGCCCTGTGAAATGTGGCAATCTCCATTTCTAATGATAGGACAAAGCTTCAGAGAAACTTCGCAACTTACCCAAAGTCACAGTGAAATAACAGAAACTCAGGTTTCAAACCTAGGTTTGCCTGACTCAAGAGCTCTTGTTCTTAACCATTATGATATACTGACTACTCATGCATATACCCTACCAGGTATCTACAGTTCAACTAAACTAACTGCATTTATTTTCAGGATGGAATCCTAAATACTTTCTCTTTTTTCCTTTTTTAAATTTTGTTTTCTTACCTCTATTTTCCTATAATGAATATACAGCATCTTGACAGTAAGAAAAGATCTTTAAAAAGTGTTCAGGGGCTGGTGCTGTGGCATAGTGGGTAAAGCTACCTAGCAGTGCCAGCATGCTATGTGGGTGCTGGTTCAAGTCCCTGCTGCACCACTTCCAATCCAGCTCTCTGCTATGACTTGGGAGAGCTGTAGAGGATGGCCCAAGTCCTTGGGCCCCTGGACCCACGTGGGAGACCTGGAAGAAGCTCCTGGCTCCTGGCTTCGGATCGGCGCTGCTCCAGCCATTGCGGCCATCTGGGGAGTGAACCAGCGGATGGAGACCTCTCTCTCTCTGCCTCTGCCTCTCTGTAACTCTGCCTTTCAAATAGATAAATCTTTAAAAAAAAAAAAAAAAAAAAAAAAAAAAGAACTAGAGCTATCTCAGCTAGATAATTATCCAAGGCAAACACACAATTCCAACCTTTAGGAGTTATGGCATAAAAATACAAAACATAGAATTTAATCTTATCTTGGAAGTAATAATATAAAACATTTAAATCAAAGCAATTTTTTTCTAATAAATAATGACAAGATATTTGAAATATGGTGTTTACAAATGCAGGTTAAGACAGAAATAGAAGCTACTACTTAAATTTCTGTTTTGACATTTTTCCTTTTTCCTCAAAAACAAAACAAACAAATGTCCAGTGGTGGGCATTTGGTGCAGCAGTTACAATGCCACTTGCAACATCTGCATCCCATATCAGAGTGTTCAGGTTCAAGTTCTGCCTCAAGTCCTACCTCCATTTCCAATATAGCTTCATGCTAATGCATACCTTGGGAGGCAGCAGATAATGACTCAAGTTCTTAGATCCCTGCCACCCACCCACATCAGACTGAGTTCAGGCTCCTGGCTTTGGCCTGGCCTAGTCTGGCTGTTGGCATCTGGGGAGTGAAACAGCAGAAGGGTGATCTCTATTTGTCTATCTGTGTCTACATCCCTATCTCTCTACCTTTCAGATTAAAAAAAGAAAATAATGATCAAAATTAGATGATTTTTTTTTGACAGGCAGAGTGGACAGTGAGAGAGAGAGACAGAGACAAAGGTCTTCCTTTGCCGTTGGTTCACCCCCCCCAAATGGCTGCTATGGCCGGCGCACCGCGCTGATCCGAAGCCAGGAGCCAGGTGCTTCTCCTGGTCTCCCATGGGGTGCAGGGCCCAAGCACCTGGGCCATCCTCCACTGCACTCCCTGGCCACAGCAGAGAGCTGGCCTGGAAGAGGGGCAACCAGGACAGAATCTGGCGCCCCAACCGGGACTAGAACCTGGTGTGCCGGCGCCACAGGGCGGAGGATTAGCCTAGTGAGCCGCGGCGCCAGCCTCAAAATTAAATGATTTTAAAATCCACTTCTCAGTCACACTAACCACATCTAATCAAAGCCAGGAGCTGAAAAACTCAATCCTAGTCTCCCATGTAAATGGCAGCAGTCTAAGTACTTGAGCTGTCACCTGCTGCCTCCAAGGGTACACATAAGCAGAAAGCTAGAATCAGAAGTGGAGCCAGAGCCAAACCTAAGCACTGTGATTCAGGATGTGGTCATCCCAAGCAATATCTTAATAGCTGTGCCAGATGTCTGCCCATCATCTAACTTTAAATGATTCAAATAGACACATGTTTTTAGTGGCTCCCATATTGGACACTGCTGGCCTAGAAGAAGCATCAGACATTATTTATATCAACATCCTTTGTTTTGGAATCAAGAAAACTAAGCCTATACTCCATAGCTTACCTCTGGCTACTCATTAACATAAAATTATACTTGGCAATTCTGTAAGGTCAGTAATATTACATATGAAGCACAGTCGTGTCTATTGTCCCAAGACTTACCTGGAAGTAGTTACAGTGTGCATAGGAAGAGGCAGTGGGAGTGACACAACTACTCAGAGCGTCCATGTGGGTAGAAGGAGAACAGCACTGTAGCACAGCTGGAACAAACACACAGAAAAGCTGTCAACTAAAAGAAACCTCTAACAGCATTCAAAGCACTTCCCTCTTTCAACCTGGAAAGAACTCCAAAGAAAAATTTCCTTTGTGTATCTAACAAAATTATTATTTAGTGCTATTATAATATTAGGTGCTATTATTTGTTGAAAATAACATGATAATAAACTTCATAATAAAGTTTAAAAGGATGATGTTTACTTTTAGAAGTAGTTTCTTTAGTACCCATTTTGTTATCTTTCTAACCATACATTTATTCTTACTGACAGTAATTTAATTTGAAAATATGAGAACATATTTGGAATTTCTAAATAACCATTTCAATCACTTCAATAACAACAATAATTTAGAGGGAGGATTGTTTTAAATAAGTATAAAATATTCTCCAAACGTCCCAACCATTAAAGAATGGATCTAGTAGAAATATATGCTAAAACTGTTTTAACTATTTAGACAAGTAGTACCCGACTTTGGAGCCCTGCTGTACAGTTTAACAGATGAGTAAACTTAAGCATGGTTAATTCCTTTGGGTCTCAGCTTCTGTGTCCTGTTAAAATAAGGGTGGGGCTGGCGCTGTGGTGCAGCTGGTTAAAGCCCTGGCCTGAGCACTGGCATCCCATGTGGGTGCTGGTTCTAGTCCCAGTTGCTCCTCTTCTGATCCAGCTCTCTGCTATGGCCTGGGATAGCAGTAGACGATGGCCCAAGTCCTTAGGCCCCTGCACCCTCATGGGAGACCCAGAAGAAGCTCCTGGCTCCTGGCTTCGGATCAGCACAGCTCCGGCCGTTGCAGCCACCTGGGGAGTGAACCAGCGGGTGGAAGACCTCTCTCTCTGTCTCTAACTCTCTGTGTAACTCTGACTTTCAAATAAATAAATAAATTTAAAAAAAAAAAAATAAGGGTAATGATAGAACCTACTTTAATATGGTTGCTATGAATGAGTTAATATGCATAAAGCATTTAGAGTATATGGGAAATCAATAAATGTTAACTGTTACTATTGTTAACTAAAGAAATACACTTTCTAAGGTTTTTATTTATAGGTAAGACACCATGAAAAGACAACTCTTTGTACTGGGATAATTCTACTTAGTATGCTAGGTCTCCTCTTTTCCACAACAGGTTCCTAAGCACAAATGAAAATCAATAATAACCACACACTTACAGATTCAACAGAGGATGACATAAGAGTGAACTACTACTATGTTTCTTGGCACAGTAGTAGATGCTTTATGTATCCTGCCTCAAATAGCAGTTGGATGAGGTATTTACACAACTTTACCAAAATTAGTGAATGAAAGCTCAAAGACATTGTCTACAAGTCACTGATAGTGACAGAGCCAGTGTCAAAGCACATACTCTCAAACATACCATGATATTTATACTGCCCTAAGATTTCTTTTTTTGTTGTTTAAAGATTTATTTATTTGAAAAGCAGAGTAACAGAGAAAAAAAAGAGAGATCTTCCATCTACTGGTTCACTCCTCCAGTGTGTGTAACAGCTGGGACTAAGGCCAAAGGCAGGAGCCAGAACTCCATTTGGGTCTCCCATGTGCATGGCAGGGGCCCAAGCAGTTGGGCCATATTCCCCTGCTTTCCCAGGGGATCAGCCAGGACTTGAACCAGCACTCCAATAAGGGATGCTGGTGTCATAAGCCTTGGCCACTGTGGCTATCTAGAGTGTGAATGTGTGAATGCAAATCTATTTCCCTCTCTGTTACTCTGCCTTTCGGAAAACAAAATAATTTAAAAAAAAAAAATTACTGGGGACTGGTGTTGTGGCATAATGAGTTAAGCCACCACCTGCGATGCTATGTCCCGGCTGCTCTACTTCCCATCTTGGTCCCTGCTAATGTGCCTGGGAAAGCAGCAGAAGATGGCTCAAGTGTTTGAGCTCCTGCCTCCCATGTGGGAGACTTGAAAGAAGCTCCTAGCTCCTGGCCTGGCTCAGTACAGGCCCTTGCAGCCATCTGGGGAGTAAACCAATGGATGGACGATCTCTCTCTGTCTCTCCTTCTCTGTAGCCCTTTCAAATAAATAAATAAATCTTTTTTTTTTAAAAAAAATTACTAAATAATCTCATTCTTTAACCTTTTTGAAACTATTTTAGTCTAAAGATGATAAAAATTAACTGAAATGTTTCCAATTTCTCCATTATTGACTATTGGTTTTTTAAATGTCAGAGTTCATAAAGGAATACTAGAAATAAACATTTTCTTGTTATATAATATACAACTTAAGGTACTAAATTTTGCATGCAGAAAAACTTAAAATGGACAGAATTCTACCTCCAATATAAATACAAGGGCTGGTATTTTCTGAATGATGATTTTTAACAAGTTTGGTGATTATAAAAAGCCATATTACTAAAATTACCACATAAAATTCAAGTTGTTGTCACTTTCAAATATCTGTTAAGCACATAGCTTCTTGATTCTTTGAAGATTATTCAAATACACAATTAAAATGTTTTAGATATGAATTTGTCCTGAGGTATCCAAAAGCATAAGCATCTGGGGAAATAAACTAAATCCAAATAGCTAAACACTGAATAGTGCCTGCAAGGTTTACTAAAACTGAAAGAAAAACAACTTTTTCCCCTAGTTACAACAAAGGAAAACCTAGCCCCCTAGTGGCAGGGAGACTCAGAAGCTGCAGGTTTTCATTACAACAGGATACCAAACAGTACTGCTTTGCTACAAATTAATGAAAAGTGCTGGCTTTATTTCTCTGGTATTTCCTTGTTCCGAACCACTGGTTACATATTTTGAATAGCTGTTAAAATTCACTTTAAAGAGGCCAGCGCTGTGGCGCAGCGGGTTAATGCCCTGGCCTGAAGCGCTGGCATCCCACATGGGTGCCAGTTCTAGTCCCGGCTGCTCCTCTTCTGATTCAGCTCTCTGCTATGGCCTGGGAAAGCAGTAGAAGATGGCCCAAGTTCTTGGGCTCTTGCACCTGCGTGGGAGACCCGGAAGAAGCTCCTGGCTCCTGGCTTTGGATTGGCACAGCTCTGACCGTTGCGGCCATCTGGGGAGTGAACCAGCGGATTGAAGACCTCTCTCTCTGTCTCTCCCTCTCTCTGTAACTCTGTCTTTCAAATAAATAAAATAAATCTTTAAAAAATTCACTTTAAAATGAATTTCCTGAAGAAATAAAGAAACTATATTACGCAACAGAGAATATGTTAATACATAGTTGATAGTTGGCTTGGTATCTAAGAAAACAACAAAATAGTGAATGTCCTTTAAAGTGTCCAAGAGCAAATGGAAAATAAAAAGGTACCAGCATGAAGAAAAGGAGGACTTGAATATATTATAATCCAAAAGTCTACTCAGTGGTCAATGGTTATTTCCTCACCAGTGCAGTCTTACTTTGTATAGTCAAAAAGATAGAACTAAGTAAGGTATTAGTAAATTTACTGAACATGAAAACATACATAGAAATCCAACCAAGTGTCTAGTTTATGACAACTTAATCTACTGTATTATGAAAGCATTAATACTTGTAAAACTGAGTTCATCACATGTCTTAAAACTCATACATCTACATAAAGATCTTCAGTGTCTTCCTGAAGGCAATATTCACTCAAGGCATTATATTACATTGCATGAAGATGGAAAAACAATAAACTAACAGAATTCCCATTTGTGTTATAAATATAAGAATTTATGACACTTTAAAATTTTTCTAAGTAATAAAACAGCCAGAATTGCTAAAAATGATCAAAGGTAAGGCAAATAAGTTCACATATTTTATCTTATGGAGGTAATTCAAATGTTTTAGATTAGAAACTACTACAGAATAGTACAGAGTCAACAGTGAGAAAATATAATAGTAACTTAATTTCAAGGTAGGTTACTATAGCAACAAGAACCCCAGCATCTCCTTATTTATGGAGAGGTAAAGAAAACGTCTGGGTATACAGGCAATTGCCAACTTATAACAGTTCAGTTTACTACTTTTTGACCTTATGTTGGCATGAAAGCAATATGCATTCATTAGAGACCATACTTCCAGGGCTAGTATTTTAGCACAGAAGGTTAAGTCAGCGCCTGGGACACTAGCATCCTACACCAAAGTGTCAGGTCAAGCCCCAGCTGCTCTGCTTTTGACCCAGCTCCTTGCGAGTGTGCCTGAGAAAGCAGCAGAGCACAGTCCAAATGCTTGGGCTTCTGCCACCCATGTGGGAGACCAGGATGTCATTTTGAGCTGGCCCAGCCCTGGGAGATATTCTCTTTCTCTGACATTCTGCCTTTCAAATAAACTTACTTATTTGTGAATAAATATAATAAATATTAGGTACAATAAATATATTTTTATAAATAAATGTTTTGAAAATACTTCTAATTCTGAATTTGGGTCTTTCCCTGGTTAATGACATGCAGCAGAACATTTTCATGATACTGGGCAGAGAGCAGTGACCACAGCTCCCAGAAAGCCCTGTGGTCAGGAGAGGAAACAATCAACGCTCTACAGTGCACTGTGGGGCTAAGTTAGGTTGTTCAGTAAGTTGGGGTGCATTGAATGAATTTTCCACTTGTGACATTTTCAACTTAAGATGGATTTATTAATATAAAACTCAACCACAAATTAAGGAGCATCTGTATGCCCAAAAGAAGTGAAAGCACACATTTGAAAAGATATTTGTGTGCCCATGGTCATAGTAGCTATGTGCACAACTTTCCAAAGGTGCAAACAATCCAGTGTCCATCTGAACAGGTGAATGGATTAAAAAAAGTGGGATATACATAGGATAAAATATTACTCAGTCTTTAAAAAGGAATGAAATTTTGACACAGCACAACATGGATGAATCTGACAATACACTAAGTGAAATCAGCCAGTCTCTAAAGGATGAGTACCACATGATCCCTCTTCTGTGAGGTTCCTGGAGTAGTCAAATTCACAGAGACAGAAAACTTAGAGGTTACCAGGGGCTAGGACAAAGGGGGGATGGGAAGCAATTGCTTAATGGGAACAAGTTTC